CGGGCTGATCTGGGCTCGTGGGCCCCGCGGGTGCCTGGCCTGTCCCTGGGCCGCGGCTGGGATGGAGTGCACTTTCGAAGGTATCTCCCCCCCCACGCGCACACACTGCTTATTCGGTGCATATGGATTTCCAGATGTGCAGTCTGCTTTCCCCCTCCACCCCTCCCACCAGATGTGCACCCACCTTGTGGGGAGACTGAGGCAGGGCATGTGGGCAAGTGTCCCCCTCCAACCCCCGCAGCGGGCGAGGGTCTGTTTGGGGCGGAGGCTGAAATCTCTCCTGCTTGGTTCCCTTGAATGCTGCCCTGTCAGGACAGGAGCCTGGGCCGACCGGAGAGCTGGGAACCCCCTTCTGTGGGGTGCAGCCCATCGTTGGTCTGCAGTGCTTGCTGAGCCCAGCCATCCCGGCAGAACTCCAGAGCCACTGGCGTGGAGTCACAGCAGCACCTGGCCCTGTCCTTTTGGAAGTTGCATTGAGGAGGGGGAGGGAGGATCGCGCAATTCTACAGGCGGCTGAGTCTGGGGAGTGTGGGGTGAGCGAGTGGTGGGAGAGGTGGGGAACTACTCACCTGTAATGAGTGACAGCCTGTCTCCTGCAGCATCCACTTACTCAGGGACTTTACTGGGCTGCAGGCTTTTGTATTTTGCCTGAGTCTGTCACTTTCCTTCCAGCAGCCCCCAATCCATGTCCCCTCTGCCCTCACACCTGCTTCCTGAGCTCTCCTCTCTTGCTCCGTTTGGAAAAAGACATTTACAGCGTCCCTATAAAGCGGAATAAACGTGTTTGTAGAAGGGTGGAGTGGGGGGCCGTTACCCGGCAATTCTTCAGTGACCACCTGGAAATGCTCCGTGCAAGACCTCTGAATTATGCCACAAAACCCTGGTGAAGGCCACACTGGAAATAGACAGACTGCATGCTCCATAGTATGTGTCTGTGTGTGTGTGAGAGAGAGAGAGATTGCATTATAAGTATCTAATCACACTATGTGATCTCAAATAGACCATAACCCCTACTGTGTGCTTCCTAGCCGTGCATGCTGTGTATTGTGTTATAATTGTATAATGCTGCTCTGTGCAGATATACAGACTCAGAGTGCAGCTGTTTACTACCTGCACTGAGGTTCTGCCCAGCACTATACAGGTATGATCACAGCAGGGACAGAAGTTACCCAAGCAGTGCTAAGCTCTGGCATAGCGTTACAAGTCTGGCCTGATTGCAGCTGTGGCCTTTTTGTGTAGCAGGGAGATGTGAGCAGCGATCTCATGCGGCGGGGGAGAGCTAACGTAGAGGTCGGAGCAGGGGCCTGGGACCCAGGACATCTGGCTTTTGCTGACATGGTTCATAAACTGAAGCAAGTCACCTCAGCCAACATTTCCAGCCTGGTTCTGGGTGTCTCCAATTTTGGGAGCCTCAGACGACAACCACTCCGTGCCTCAGTTTCCCCATGCACATGGTGAGGACAGCGATAGCGACCTATCTGGTGGCTGAGCTGGAACGATCAGTTGGGTAAGAGCCAGCAGAGAAGGCGCCAGGGCAGTGCACAATGTTATTAATGGCTGGAGCTAATTGGAGCAAAGCCTTAGGTGTCGGAAAGCTGGGTTCCGATGGAGATAGGCCACTGGCTCAGCGTGTGACCGGGGACCCATCTCCCCGTGCCGCACTCGTAAAATGTGGTGAAACAAACCAGCAGCTACTGCTGCGTGGAAGTGGAGTCGTCCAAGGTGAACAGATGCCACGAGAGAGCCCACGTGGCCTTGCTGGCTGCAGCTTTCTCCTTTCCCTGCTGATGCCTGCCCGTCTGGTTTCAAGGAACAGAGGGGTGGCCAACCTGAGCGTGAGAAGGAGCCAGAATTTACCAATGGACATTGCCAAAGAGCCACTGTAATATGTCAGCCGCCCCCCCTCAGCTCCCCCTGCCCCGCTCCCGGCGCCTCCTGCCCACCGGCAGCCCCACCGAGCAGCGCCTCCCGCTCCCTCCCCGCACCTCCCGATCAGCTGTTTCCTGGGGTGCAGGAGGCTCGGGGTGGAGAGTGAGGGCACTGCAGGCTCAGGGGAGGGGGCGGGAAGGGGTGGAGTGGGGGCAGGGCCTGTGGCAGAGCCGGGGGTTGAGCAGCGAGCACCCCCCAGCACACTGGGAAGTTGGTGCCTGTCGCTCCGGCCCCGGAGTCGGTGCTTGTACAAGGAGCCGCATAGTAACGTCTGAAGAGCCGCAAGTGGCTCCGGAGCCCCAGGTTGGCCACCCCTGGCTTAGACTCTGCCTCCTGCAGCCAGCAGAGCAGGTTCCAGCCCCCGGCCCCTGTGGCAGCCTTGTCTAGGTGGGGAGGGAGGGGCGGCTCCCAGGGTCTGGGGGAAGAACGTAGCTCTCGAACTCAGGTTTGCTCTGGACGTCCAGAGCGTGCGTTTCTCGCACACCTGCCAGAGGCTAGAATAGCGTCGTCGTGGATTCTGCCCCTTTCCCACCTGATGGCTGGGTGTCGTGATGGAGTAGCCCCCCCGCCCCCCCAAAATGTTGGCCCGGAAACTCTGCCACGGCAAATGAATGTGAGCACCGAGGGCTGCGTTTACCTGATGGGGAGCCCTGTCCCCTGCTTAGTTGGAGCAGCCTCAGGGCGGTCTAGACAGGAGGGTTGCTGGCCCTCTCACACTGCAGGTCATGAGCTCATGCTGTGGGCACCAATCCTGGTCCCTGCCCCACACTCCCTCTGCAGAAACCAGGACGCCAGGCTCCATGGATCAGGGAGAACTAGGGCAGCCTGCAGGAGACAGCAATACATAATGGGATGGGCCCAGCTGACTGGAGACATCTCCTCTGCTCTGTGGCTGGGCTGTGAGTTTCCTTTCTGGAGGTACAGGATTGACATGGCTCAGACCCGGATTCTCCCCGCCACCTCCTATCCGCCTGCAGCTCCCCAGCGCTGTCTGCAGCGTGGGCCTGGCCCCCAGGTGCTTTGCTCCAGTGTCGGTGTCATCGGGACATGGGGTCACAGCTGAATTTACACCAGAGAAATCTGCGACAGGGGCACTGAGCAGCCAATTGTGGGGCTGGGGAAAGGAGTGGGGCGGGGGTTGGGTTTTTTTAGTTGGTCAAAAAGGCGTCTGGAAACCTGAAGCAAAGCCCAGAAGGGGTTGTAAGTAGCAGGAAGCATCGACTCAGCCTTCCATATCCACAGGAGAGGGGGGGTGATGGCTGCTGGGCTGGGACACGCGCGACCTGGGTTCAATTCCCTGCTTTGCTGTAGACTCCTTGGGTGAATCACTGAATTGCTCCGTCCCTTGGTTTCCCCTCTGTACACCGGGACCAGGACGATAATCTTGCTTTTCCCCTTCCCGTTGTTGGTTTGTAAGCTCCATGGGGCTGGAGAGCAGAGCTCTGTCTCTCGTCGTGTGTACGTAGAGCCCCTCAGCCAATGGGCTGTATTGACTGTATGTGCTACTGTAATACGGAAAACAATAATAACCCTGCCCCGTCTGCAGCCCGCGCAGGACTGGGCCTGCAGCCCCTGCTCCAGCCCATGCAGGGAGGCTGCCCCTCCCTTGGGGGCTTGTCAACAGCCCAGGTCATCTCACTCCTGTTCATTGTTTTCTTGCCATTCAGCCTGAGGGTCCCGTTAGTTCCCCTGCAGGTTGCGATGGGGTAGAAGCCAGGCCCAGCTCCCTTGCTCGCCTGCGTAGCCCCCTGTGAAGCCAGGGCAGCAGCCCACATGAGGAAGGGCTGCAGGATCGGGCCCTCTGGGGTCCGGCTGGTCATGGAGCAGCCGTAAGAGGAGGGGTGAGATTTTAGATCCTCCCCATTGCAGCTCCCTGTGTCTCCCACTTCTTGGCTGTATCCCGAAGGGTCTCCCCGTGGCGGCTGGTCTTCAGGCTCCCCCTACTGGCAGATGCAGTTATCACACCCACAGCTGAGATGCCAAGGACGGTACCTGACTCCCCTGGGCTGGAGCGCTGTGCGTGGGTGGTGTGTACAGGGCTCAGGCGGGCTGGGCTGGGCTGGGCCCAGCAGGGCTGAAGGCTTTCAGTCCAGCCTGCCATGCTGGGCTGTCATTTTACCCCCTCGAATTCCACACACACACACACACACACAGAGTCCTGTGTGTGGCACTGATGCTGCAGCTGGGGGCAGTTGATGATGGGGACTTTGGCAGCCCGGCCCTGCAGCCACCCATGAGGAGGCACTTGAGGAGCCCGGCCTTCACCCCCACACGCCGTCACTGAGCGCTGGCGGCTGGGACCCCGTGGGGCAGGCCGGGACGGAGGGAGCTTTAAAGCAAAGATGCCGGAGGCCAAAGGCAGCCTGAAGCCGTTGAATACAGAGGGATGACCGAACCGGGGCTGTGTGTCCCAGCACGCCCTGCTCTGCCCATCCCAGAGCAGCCTGCTTGCCCTGCTGGGCGTGAGTGCGGGCAACCCCTGGGCATGAGTGCTGGCAACCCCTGGGCGGGAGGGTGGGCATGCCCCTGCTGTCACATTCAGTAGCCAGCGGAGGGTGCGAATGGGAACGCTGAGCATGCACTGTAAGACACAGCCTTTGGCCCCAGTTGCTGGTTCGGTCCAGCCCAGCAGGCAGTGACTGGGTCCTTGGGTGGTGGTGCCCCTCCCCCCCGCTGAGATGAGTTTGCAGAGGTTCAGCCCAGTTCCTAAATGACAAAACCCACGGCTGGCACAAACACCAGGTTCAGCGGCGAGGCCCAGGGTCCAGCAGGTCTTGGAGTTAGGTCATCTGTGCCAGCCCTGAGGCTCAGCTGCTGGGGCAGCATGGGGGAGCTGGCCTGGCTGGGGATACAAGGACGCCAGGTTCCCAAGGCCATTTAATCCAGCACCAGCGTCTACCCTGCTGGCAGTCTAATAACCGAGCTGGGTCTGGTTGCAATGTGGGCAGCCCTCACCCCGCAGGGTGTGTGGATCCCCATCCCTGCTAGCAAGCCCTGTAGTCAGGGGGACGTAGATCTCTGTGGTACGTGGGATCCCTCTCACTGCTGGGCCGGCTTGGGGTGTTTTCCAGACATGCTCCAGCTGATCAACACCCAGGACAATGAGTTCCCGGGCCTGTTTGACTCTTCATTCGACGCACCTGCCGCCCCGATGCCAGAGGCCAGCACGCCTGTGGGGCTGCCGTCCACAGCCGGCTCTCTCAACGGCTACCTGGGGCCCAGCCAGGCGCTCCCCTCCGCTCCCATGAGCATGTACCAGGTGCCCCCGCCACTGCAGAGCATCTCACCGCAGCCCCAGCTGAGGGCCGGGCCAGGCCTGACGGTGACTCCTTCACCGGCGTCGGACATCAAGGAGGAGCCCATGGCGCTGTCTGCCAGCCAGCCCCAGCCTCCGCCCCAGCCGCAGCAGGGGGTGATGACAGCCCAGAGCTTCGTCCCGGCTTCCCAAGGCCAGTTCACTGCACAGCCCTTGCTGGGATACCAGAATCAGCACGGCTTCACCGGTGAGGCTCAGGATGGGGGGAGGGCCCCTTGAGGTGGGGCTGGGTCCCACTGAGCTCCCCCCTGTCTCCAGTGGGACCCCGAACTGGCCCTGAAAAGGCTGTAGTCTAGGGGGCAGCACTGGAGTGGAATCAGCTCCTGTAGATGCTGCGCTGTCCCCCACGCAGGCCCATAGCTAATGCTGTAAGGGGTTAATTTAAAGGGCCGCTGTCAAGTAATTTAGACCTAATCTTTTGGCCTCAATTTTTTTCTACCCTGGGTGGGAATGTCCTTTTGGGTCTTTAAAAACATGAATTTATAAACCAAATTTTTCGTTTTTGTTTTGAAAAAAAGACGTGGGAGCCAGTGTTTATATAGGACCTATAATATTGTCACCTCTGCTACTGCCAAGGGAGCCAGCATGCAGAGTGCAAGCTGAGCACCAGTAATGGGGCCCTGAGGGGGGGGTCTGCTCAATGGGGAAAGGGCAAAATAGGTGGGAAGCGAGGGCTGTTTTCAAGGGTGTGATCAGCTCTGGCTGGACCCCTGGCAGAGTGTGGGGCGTGATGGGTGATTAACGTTCTCTGGAGCATCCTGAGTGAGGAAAGCAGAGGAGCTGGGCCCTTGGTCTGCCTGGCTGATGCAGGATCGTGGGCAGGCTGGGCCCCTGGAGTGTGGGGAGCAAGCTCCACGATGCGTCTAACTCGCTCTCCTTTCTGCTCTCAGCAGTGCAGCCTGGAGGGGCTCCCCAGTCCCCGGCCAGCCTCCCTCACTCCTCTCCGCAGATGCAGCCCGTCACCCTTCAGGCTCACGTCCAGAACATCTCGCCCCAGCAGCTGCTGGCCGCGGCCACCACCGGCACCTCCCAAGCTGTCTCCTCCCAGATCCAGCAAGTCCCGGTAAGCTGGGGCCAGGAGCGTGGACAGGCAGCAGGAGATCCAGGCACTCCTGCTCCCTGAACTGGGGATGTGGGGCTGCAGCACTAACCCTCTACCCACCATACAGGTCCTGCTGCAGCCCCACTTCTTCAAGGCCGAGTCCCTGTTCCTGACAGCTGTGAAGACGGACGTCTCTGGGGCAAAGACCTCCAGCCACACTTCGCTGGCCACCACGGCGGCCGTCCAGTCTGCCCCGCTGCAGGTCCCGGTAAGTGAAACCCTCAGGGCTCCCTGTGTGTGAGTCTCCCCCACAAACCCACATCTCCAAGCTGGATCTGCTGCTTGGCCTCAGGCCTGGGGTGAGAGCCAGTCAGCGGGGAGCTGGGAACAGACCCAGGGCTCCTGACTCCTGGACCTTTCCTCTATGTCCTCCCTTGGTGCGCAGCCAGGGCCTGGGACTGCCAGCCCCTCCAAGACAGAGCCGCTGGCATGGCTCATGGCATATCCCCCACCCCGCCATCTGCAGACCCCCGCTAAATGTGGGAACCTTCCCTGGAGACCAGTAGGGGCTCGGCCAGTTAAAGCCATAGATAATATCTGGGACGGGGGTCAAGGCATCGGCCAATCGCAAAAGCAAAGCTCAGGTCCCAGCCCAAAGGGGACGAGCTCGGTGGGTCTCAGCAAGCGCCACATCTCAAAACTAAAATGGAGCTGGACGCGATCAAATGTCAGCCCCAGAGTGGTTCATGGGTGGGAATGTCAGGAGGGGGCTGCGGGTTGGGATTGGGGGCAGCAGCAGAGCAGGGGGGCAGTGCTGGATTGGCAGGGGCTGTGGGTTGGATTGGGGGCAGCAGCAGAGCTGGTGGGGGTGGGGTGCAGTGGAGCCCAGGGCTGGAACAGCAGGGCAGGGGGCTGCTGTGGGTCAGGAGCCAGGCGTCCTGGCAGAGCTGTGGGGGGAGCTGCCTGGGGTAGGCGGAGGGGCTCTTTCCTCCCCCCACCCTGGCAGGGTGGGCATACTCCTTTCTCCGGCCGGTCCCAACGCCCTGCTCTCTCGCAGACCCTGGTGAGCGGAGGCACCATCCTGGCCACGGTGCCGCTGATGGTGGATGCCGACAAGCTGCCCATTAACCGGCTGGTGGCCAACGGGAAGCCAGCCTTTGTGCAGAACAAAGGCGAGAAGCGCACCGCACACAACGCCATCGAGAAGCGCTACCGCTCCTCCATCAACGACAGGATCATGGAGCTCAAGGACCTGGTGGTGGGCTCGGAGGCCAAGGTACCTGGGCAGCGGTGGGGCCTGTGGCGGCAGGGGGTGTCTGTCCCCAGACAGAAGCGCTCTGGTTCCCCCCTCCTTCCAGCTGCTGGGTTCTAGGAGGTGCTGCAGGCTGGGAGTGAGGGGCATCAGCAGAGCGGGCTGGGGGTACGGTGGGGCAGGGGCTGAAGGGACTCCTGCCTGTCCCTGCACTGCCTGGGTCTGGCGGCCATGTCCCCTGGTGCTACCATGACCCAGGCATGGCCGGTGGGTTGAGTTCTTCTGCAGGGACAGCACCTGACAGCGGTCGGCACGGGGGTGGGGGGAGGGCAGCATTGCCAGGGGCCACTCTAGACCTTCTCCCCGGGGTTGGCTGCGTCCGGCGGTGGGGGGAAGCTGTACCTGAGCGGCCGTGTCCCTCTCTCGGGCAGATGAACAAGTCGGCCATTCTGAGGAAGGCGATCGACTACATCCGCTTCCTGCGGCAGAGCAACCAGAAGCTGAAGCAGGAGAACGTGGCCCTCAGGATGGCCGCCCAGAAGAACAGTGAGTGCGGGGTGGCTCTCCCAGCTGGAGGGCCGGGAGGAGGGTTTGGGAGTTGAGGGACTTGGGAGTTGAACCCAGGTTATGCCACAAGTGAAGCGAGTTTGGTGGGTCTGAGCCTGGCCCCAGCAGGGGCCCAGGACTGCAGTAGCAGGTGTGAGGTGTCACGGGGGAGGCCGCTGGGCGGGGGGACTGCGTGAGGGCTGGCAGCGGGGAGATGAGGTATGGTGGCACTGTAGGGGAGAGGGGCAGTGGAGGGGTGCTGTGGGACAGGCCATGCAGAGGGGCAGTGGTCGGGGAGGATGCTTTGGGGAACTGCCCAGCCTGGGGCGATGAATGCCCCAGGAGCCCAAGCCCATTGGAGGGTGGCACAAGCTCTCCAAAGCCACAGGGCTGGGTCAGCCGCTTGGGGGGGAGCTGTAAGCGGCCCCCTGTCCTCATGGCCCCTCTGCTTTCAGAGTCCCTGAAGGACCTGGTGTCCACGTGCCGCAGGAAGCCGGACATGCCCATGGAGGAGATCAAGCCAGAGATGATGGACATGCTGACGCCCCCGCCCTCAGATGTGGGCTCTCCCTCCCACAGCAGCCCCCTCTCGCTGAGCAGTGGGAGCAGCAGCGACTCAGAGCCCGACAGCCCGCTGTTCGAGGAGACCAAGGTCCCGTGGCGGGGGGCGCTGGGCTGGGCAGGAGGCGGCTCTGGCGGGACCCCCGCCTGGAGCCAGGGGCTGGCGGGTGCCCATGCGGAGCTAGGGACAGTGGGGTCAAACACCTGACCCTGGGGCGAGCCCTAGCCAGGCTGCTTGCAGACAGTCCTTTGGCCTGGTCCATTACCCAGCCGGCAGACGTGGAGGCTCCTGTCGGATGCCAGGGCGTTTGGGGCAGGCCCAGCTTGGCTTGCCCTGGGTGAGGAGGTGACAGATCTGTGCAGCGCAGCCTGGCTCCCAACCTTTTAGGCATAGCTGGGTGCCTTTCACCTTCACGCCCTGACGCGCTCCGTGGGTGCCACCGGAGCAGACCCGCCACCTGTAGCAAGGACTCACGCCCACCTCTGCGCTTGGGCTTTCAGGGGAAGAAGGAGCAGCAGCTGTCCACCGGCAGCCTGGGGATGCTGGATCGCTCGCGCATGGCTCTCTGCGCCTTCGTCTTCCTCTGCCTCTCCTTCAATCCCCTGGCCTCCCTGCTGCGGGGCACCAGCCCCGAGGGCGCCCCAGAGAGCGGGGCCTTCCCAGGCCCTGGCAGGAGCATAATGGGCAAGCCGGATTCCATAGGTAAGTGTTGGGAGCAGCACGCGGGCAGCCGCTTGGCCAAGGGATTTAGTGCTAGAGAGTGGCAATCAGGGCCAGAACCCCCAGGCCAGGTGGCTGGGGCCATCAGGGCCAGGCCGGAGGGAGCAGGGGGCTGGGTGTCTGGGGCCATTGGGGCCAGGCCAGAGGGGAGCAGGGGGCTGGGTGGCTGGGGCGATTGGGACCAGGCCTGGGGATAGAGGGGGCTGGGTGGCTGGGGCCATCGGGGCCAGGCCGGAGGGTAGCAGGTGGCTGGGGCGATTGGGGCCAGGCTAGAGGGGAGCAGGGGGCTGGGTGGCTGGGGCCATTGGGGCCAGGCTGGAGGGGAGCAGGGGGCCGGGTGGCTGGGGCGATTGGGGCCTGGCCAGAGGGTAGAGGGGCCTGAGTGCAGTCGCGTGTCCAGGGCACTGGGAGGAGCAGCCAGTGCTGGCGGGGGGCCCTGTGTGTGGGCTGTGGCCCAATGGGCTGTGACACTCCCTGCTGAGTGATGCGGTCCGTAGCGTGGGGGGCACTCCGGTCCATTGGTGGGGCCAGAGCTAGCTGTGACATGTTGCTAACGCCGTCCCCGCCGGCTCTCTCTGCGCCCTGTGCCCAGACGAGGCCTCAGGCTGGCCCACCCTGATCTTCTGGCTGCTCAACGTGCTGGTCGTGCTGGGAGCCTTCGTCCGGCTCTTCATCTACGGTGAGCCTGTCACCCGCCCCCACTCGGAGTCGTCCATCCTCTTCTGGAGGCACCGCAAGCAGGCAGACCTGGACCTGGCCCGGGTAAGGAGCAGCACTGGCTGGCTGCGCCCTGGGAAGGGGGCTCCGAGCTCCCATTGCCTCAGGGCAGGACCCAGCCCGGAGCCTTATGCATCCACCCCAGGTTGGCCCTGGTTTGATTTCTCCTTCCTACTCACTAGGCGATCAGCAGCTCCTAACAGCCAAAGCCCCGCCTCTCCCTGCCCCCCTGGCCCAGCCCCACCCCCAATTCCTGCTAGACAAAGCCCCGCCCCACCCTGCCCATTTGGCCCAGCCCCACCCCCAATTCCTGCCAGCAAAGCCCCGCCTCTCCCTGCCCCCCTGGCCCAGCCCCACCCCCAATTCCTGCCAGACAAAGCCCCGCCACCCTGCCCACCTGGCCCAGCCCCGCCCCCAATTCCTGCCAGCAAAGCCCCGCCCCTCCCTGCCCACCTGGCCCAGCCCCACCCCCAATTCCTGCCAGCAAAGCCCCGCCTCTCCCTGCCCCCCTGGCCCAGCCCCGCCCGCAATTCCTGCCAGGAAAAGCCCCACCCTGCCCACCTGGCAAGGCCCTACCCTCAATTGCCGCAAGGCAAACCTCTGCCCCTCCCTGTCCACCTGGCACAGCCCTTCCCTGGCCCTGCCCACTTGCCATGCCCTGCTCCCAACTTCCCAGGAAAAGCCCTGCCCTGCCAGAGGCCTGATATTCAGGAGGGGGATTCCCCACCCCGCGGGCAGTGCGTTAACACCCTGCATCCTCTCCGTGTTGCCAGGGGGACTTTGCTCAGGCCTCCCAGCACCTGTGGACGGGCCTGAAGGCCCTGGGCCGCCCGCTCCCCACCTCCAACTTCGACCTGGCCTGCAGCCTCATGTGGAACCTCATCCGCCACCTGCTGCAGCGTCTCTGGGTGGGGCGCTGGCTGGCCGGGCGGGCGGGCGGCTTCCGGCGGGACAGCGAGCTGAAGGCTGACGTGCGCAAGAGCGCCCGCGATGCCGCCCTGGTCTACCACAAGTTGCACCAGCTGCACATGACAGGTAGGGGGCACCTGCGGGCCTTGAGGGGGCTGTGATTACTGGGGGTTGGGCCAGAGGGATCCGATCCCCCTTGGCGGCTGGAGGGGGGATTTGGGTTGAATATGTGGTTGCCCCATCCCTGAGCAGGTGCTGTGCCAGCCTTTCACTCAGCTGTGCCTGTGCCCCTCAGCCCCGCCCCGCAGCTCCCCGCCCCACCCCCCGCTATTCCAGCCCGTGCCGTGCACGGGGGAGTGGCACAAGCTCATCAGCTGCTACCCCCCTTCCTCCCGCTCGCTCTGCGGGTGACCTGAGCCCGGTGTGAGCCCCCCAGTGCCAGGCTGATGTCCCACATCCCCTTGCCCGCAGGGAAGCACGTCGGGGGCCATCTCTCCGGCATCAACATGGCGCTGAGCGCCGTCAACCTGGCTGAGTGCGCCAGCAACACCGTCTCCGTGGCGACGCTGGCCGAGATCTATGTGGCCGCCGCGCTTCGCGTGAAGACCAGCCTTCACCGGCGTGTCCACTTCCTGGCGGTAAGGATGGCTCGGGGGTGGGGCTTGGCTCAGTGGAGGCGGGGCTCCTCCATGCCCCGCCCTCCCAGATTGCGAACACCAGCCCAGACCCACCCGCTGGGCTCCTTCTAGAGGGGACGCTACAGGAAGCATTCCCCGCAGTCAGAAACCCTCCTACTGCTTGGGGCTGCCTGGGGCCCATCTAGCCTGGCACCCCAGCACCACCTGCCAGGAACCTATCCAGCCTGGTATCCGCACTGGGCCCATGCAGCTTGGTATCGCCCCTCCCTACCTTCCTGCTGCCTCAGACCCACCCCTAGAGCTGGCTGCCAGCTCTGGCCATGGCACTCTGCCCAGACAGCACCATCCCTCCTGGCTGCCCCTGGGGCCATGCAGCCTGGGCTCGGCCCCATCTCTCCCAGAGGGGCTGAGCCGTGTCTCTGCCCTCGCAGCGCCCCTTCCTGTGCAGCGCCCGGCAGGTGTCCCTGTCGCACAGCGGCACCGTGCCCCCAGCCATGCAGTGGCTGTGCCACCCTGTGGGCCATCGCTTCTTCGTCGATGGAGACTGGTCTCTGAAGGGCACCCCGAGGGACAGTATCTACAGCTCCACCAGCAACCTAGGTACCTGTCTCCCCATGTCTCACTGCCCAGCTCCGTCTCTGCGTGGCACCAGACCAGGACTGTGCCCGCATTCCCCATACTCAGCTCTGCCGATGCCCTCAATCCTGACCCACAGCTGCCCCCGGGGTTCACCTGCGGCTCTGCCGATGCCCCTCGCCCCTGAGGCATAGACGCTGTGGCCTCTGTCTCCAGGAAAAGTGGGTCTCCGTCAGTTGACCTAAAGTGGGCCCTTGCCTGCCCTGCCCTTGGCATCAGGGTTGCTGGGCGCCCTGCCAGGCTCCAGCCTGCCCGTGGCCTTTATTAACACCGTGGTGCCTGGACCCCTGTGCCAGCTCTGTGCCTGGCAAGGGCTCTGGGGTCTGGAGACCCAGCGTTTGGGCTCCAGTGCCCATGGTGGACACAGGGCCCCTCAGCTGGCTCCTCCCCCTAGCCAGGACGCTCATCCTCCCCCCAACCCAACTAACAGGCCTCTCTTGGCGCTTCCCATGGGGCCCAGTGGACCCCCTGGCTCAGGTGACCCAGCTGTTCCGTGAGCACCTGCTGGAGAAGGCCCTGTGCTGTGTAGCCATGCCGGACCCCAACCCGCCAGCGGCCCACAGAGAAGGGTAAGTACCAGCCGTGGGGCCCAGAGCGGGGATGCACCCAGCCTGCCAGCTCCTGGCTTCCTCCCAGCCTGCAGCACCCTGCCAGCGACCACTCAGTCCCCGTCCTGCAGGGATGTGGCCCAAGCACCCACCTGAGGGTCATGCCCGGTGGTCCCTCCCGCCAATGGCATTGCGCCCCCAGCAGGGCCCTGAGCACCTCGTCCCTGCTGCCAGCCCTCATCACCCAGGGCCCAGCTGCGCCCCGCAGCACCTCAAATTTCTGGGGTGGGGGCTGGGACCCAGGATGGTTCGCTCTCCTGGCAGCCGTCCCTAACTGCTCCTCTTCCCCTCGGCCCCAGGGAGTTCTCCGATGCCCTGGAGTACTTGCAGCTGCTGAACGGCTGCTCGGACACCGCCGGCACCCCCAGCTGCACCCTCTCCATCAGCTCCGGCATGGCAGCCAGCACAGGTGAGGCCATCGCTGACCGGTGCGGATGGGGGCAGGGGAGAGGGGCCCGGAGCCTGGCACGTGCCCTGGGGCCTGCCGCTGAGAGGAAGGGCTATAGCTGCGGTTGGGGCTCTGCATGGGCAACTTCCAGGAGCACGCGGCACCCGGGGTGTCCAGGCCAAGGTGGGCGCAGTGACCTAGGGGGGCTGTGAAAGGTACTGGCTGGAGATCCAAGGTGGGGCAAGTGGGTATGGGATTGGGGTGGGGGGCATCTGGGGGTGGGTGGGTGGGGGTCGGCCAGGGCAGGCGAGTGTCTGTTCCTCGCCGTGATAGGCTGGCTGATGCCATCGGTCCCGTGTGCCCCGCTCACAGGCAGTGACCCCGTTGCCAAGTGGTGGGCGTCCATCGTCGCTGTGGCGATTCACTGGCTGCAGGGGGACGATGAGGCGGCCGAACGGCTGTACCCGCTGGTGGAGACCATGCCGAGGGCCCTGCAGGTGTCAGAGTGAGTGTCTGCAGGGGTGAGGGGGGTGCATCGCTGGGATGGGAACGGCACCCCCTTGGCACAGCACTGAGCTCTGCAAGGGAAATGGGCCAGGGATCTCGGGGGGGATGACAATGTCATGTGATCAGCTGGGCAGTCACATGATCTCCAAAAGGGGGTGCCCATTGCATCTCAGGGAGCCAGCTTTGGGGGTGAGGCCAAGAGACGGGGCAGCATTGAACAGGGATCGGTTATCCCAGCCCCACCCCTCAGTGGTGGGAGACCCCAGCTGGGGGTACCATGATGACCGTTTCCCTCTCCGCTCATGTAGGAAGACCCTGCCCAGGGCTGCGCTGCACTCCTTTAAGGCCGTGCGGGCCCTGCTGGGGAAGCAGGACAGCAGCCAGGCCAGCCTGGGCCAGTGCGAGAAAGCCAGCGGCTACCTGCGGGACAGCCTGGGTCTCAGCTCGCCCGCCACTGGCACCCTTGACAAGGTGAGTCCCTGGCCTGTTCCCTGTGGCCTCGGTAGGGGGGTGGGGTGTGACCACGGACTGTTCTCAGCCGTGTAACCGGACTCTCCCCTAGCATGCACTGCATCCACTAAAAGACAGCCACCTCTGGGGCGAAGCACACAGCGCTCCAGGAAGCAGGTGCCGTATGCAGCGGAGCCATCTGGCTCCCTCAGGCCATGCATCCAGACGTCCCTGGGGCCCGGCACACCGGACACACACTTCTGCAGGAAGGGACCATCCAGAGGGGTGCAGCGCAGTGGCCGCAGCTGTGGTGCATTGTAGTTGCATTGCATGTGTGAGAATAGGTGTGCAATGCCCCTGCAGTGCAGCCCAGATGGGGCTTCTTCCAGCACCGAGCACCAGCCGGCAGCAAGGGGCCAGGGCAGCGGTGCCCCTGCTGGGCACTGGAGAGGGCTGCTGTCCAGCACCAAGCACCGGCCCTGGCAGACCCCAGGGAGACACCCCCAAACTGTAATTCCCTCGCACCAGCCATGGCCTCTCAACGGGGCATCACCGTAGCCACCAAGGAATTTGGAAAGGTGGGACCCAGATGGGCCAACCTGCTCCATGGCACCATGGTGGGAGGGTGGGGGAGGGTCAGGCCCAATCTCCCTGGGCCACGCCTGCTCCCGGTAGTGTCTCTGTGGGCGCAGCCCTGGGTGGCATCTGTGTCCCACACAGTCTGTCCCTCCCCCTCACTGGCACCTCTCTCTCCCCCCAGGCGGTTCAGCTCCTCCTGTGCGATCTGCTCCTGGTGACCCGCACCAACGTGTGGCAGCAGCAGATGAATGTGAGCCAGCACCTGAGCTGTGTCTACCAGGCCTCGGCCCTCGAACTGCGGGGCTTCCAGCAGGATCTGAGCAGCCTGCGGCGCCTGGCCCAGGCCTTCCGGCCAGCCATGCGCCGGGTGAGCCCTGGGGTGAGGGGCTTGGGGGTGGGAGGGGGTGTCTGCTTCCCCACTCTGCTGAGCACATGCTTCCCACCGTGATCTGAGGTCCCGTGGCTGGCACTGTGCCAGAGCATGGGGATGGGGTCAAAGTCCTGGGGTGCAGACTCTCTCTGGGGGCTGGGCGGGCACAGGGCTGGCCAGAGGCTGACTGTCTATGTGGGCTGCTCCCCAGGTGTTCCTGCATGAAGCCACTGCCAGGCTGATGGCCAGAGCCAGCCCCACCAGGACCCACCAGCTGCTGGACCGCAGCCTGCGCAGGAGAGGGGCTCAGAGCAGCAAAGAAGGTGAAGGGGGAGCCTGTGGCCCAGGTGGTCTGGAGGCAGCAGGGGGAAGGGTGCCCAGATTGCCTTCTGCCCCCCAATCTGGGGGGCTCTGCTGGGCTAGCAGGGACCAGGGCATGTGCCCAGCCTTGCCCTGGGGCTAGGAGGAGGATGCAGCCTCCATGGCCCTGTCTGCCCTGGGACTGCCAACCGGTGCCGGCCGGGGGGCTGTATGGCCGCCCCTTATGAGAGGGGTTGAGACCCAGCAGCTCATGACATGGAGAAGTCCCACCAGGTTAGGGCATGGGTGGGACTGGCGGGCTGGGCTGAGGGCTGCGTGCCCCAGTGGCAGCAGATGGACCCAATTCAGCCTACTTTGTGCAGGGCTGCGGGGGGCCAGCCCCAGGCCAGTCCAGGGTGTAGGGATCAGCAAGGTTCCCCAGTGTGTGGCTGGCAGGGCTCGCGCTCGAACAGGTGCTGGGACCCCGGGGGCGAGGGGCAGGACCAATCCCCCCGTCCGTCTTTGCACGTCCCCCTCTGCAACGGGCGCGTGATCATGGACGGGGCCTTCCCCTGCACGGCCCTGTCCCTCCTCTTGGGCCCCTCTGTCCGTGCTGGCGGCCAGCACTGAACCAGCTGGGCCCTCTGTTTGCTCTTGCAGCCGGCGAGCCGGAGAGCCACCCCACCCCACGGGAGCACGCCGAGGCCCTGCTGCTGGCTTGCTGCTACCTCCCGCCCAGCTTCCTCTCTGCGCCAGGCCAGCGTGTGGGCATGCTGGCCGAGGCCGCCCGCACCCTGGAGAAGCTGGGCGACAAACGGACACTCCATGACTGCCAGCAGATGATCATCAAACTGGGCAGCGGCACCACGGTCACCACCGGATAGCGCTGTGGCCAGAGAGCCGTGGACAGTGGGGATGGGAAGGCCACTGCTCCGATGGGACTGATCCAGTAATACCTGGCCCAGCTTGAGCTGCTCCATCAGGGCTGCTGTGCTGTGTCGTGGGCAATGTGTCTCTGCTTAATTGGCAGGAGTGTTAGTCATTACTGCTGGGAGGGGCTGGGAGCCAGGACTCCTGGGTTCTATTCCTGACTCTCTTCTCTGACCCTGGGCAAATCACCCACACGTGCCTCAGTTTCCCCACAGGTGTAATACACTTCCCTACCTCAGGGCGGTGCTGGCTGCCAAGGGGTGACACTGTGGACGAGGGGCTGCCTGGGAGCAGAGATGCTGTCTTGGCAGGAGGGAGGGGCGGGTGCTCTGAGGGGGCTTCGTTGGTATGGTTTGACAGGCCGTGGGTGCCATGGGCTGGGCCCAAAGAGCCTCCAGCCCCTCCCCTGTGCTAGGGCCTGGAGTCCCAGCGGATCTCCTGCCTCACTCTCCAGCACGGCCCCCCACCCTGCCCCCTGCCCTGCCCCCGGTCTCCCTGCAATGCTGGGCACTGGGGTCCTCTAGTGGCACCTTCTCAGTATTGCAGCATTGGTCCATTTCTCCAGCCCTTCTCCCTCCCCGCCGGACAAAGCGTTCTAAGCTGCTGCCCCTGCCTCTCCCCCACCGCCCGCCCTAGAGGTCCCCGGGGGAAGGCCTCTGGCCCCCTCCAGCAGCAGCTGGCAGTGCCTGCCCCGGTCGTGCACAGTGCTGGTGCTGGGCGTCAACTGCGGGGGCTGCAGGGAAAGAGAAGAGGGCAGGGCCGAGGTGGGGGGTGGCCCTGGCAGCGGTGTCTGCCCGGAGCCTGTGGGTGGCCATATCCCAGGGCTCACAACGTTGCCCCCTGCCCTGCCCTGGCACCTTTGCCTGCGTTTCCTTTTTAAAGGTCATTTTCATAGTTGGAGAGTTTTGTACAGACGATTAAAGCTGCTTATTTATAGCTGTGCCTGTACTGGATTGGGGGGACTGTACCCGACGCCCCAACCTGGGACGGTCACAGAGTGCAGCCTCGGCAGGGGGTGGCCATGGTATCACCACCTCTCTCCTGCAGCTTCCCGCTGGGGTGTGGTTCATCCAACCCATTGCCTGAGCATGCAATAAACAAGCATCAGGAGGGCCCAGCTGCAGCTGCTGCACCTCAGGGGAGCCAGGTTCTGCCCTCTGTCTCCCCACTTCCCCCCACCGCCACCTCTGGTGACCCAGCCTGGGTGCAAGGATTGTCTGGCCTGGGCCTCTCTTGGAGGGGCAAGAGCATGGATCCCACAAGAAGTCCCTGTGCCCATGGCTCAGGCCAGCAGCTCCCAGGGCTCTAGTCAGCCAGGGCCTGCTCCTGCTGGCTCAGGGCCAAGCACTCGGAGCTGCCCCCCCCAGCAATGGAGCATTTGGCCTTTTCACGTTGCCGTGGAAATCTCGGGCCAAATCCCACCGGGTGCCTGGTGGGATGCAGTGTGAGTGTCAATTCCCAAGTGCTGGTTGCCAATATGGCCCCTCTTGCTGCAGAAATTGGGGGACCCCATCTCTGCCCCTACATTTCAGCTGAACACAGGCTGACCCTGCTCCCTTTGCCTGGCTTCGTAGCTTGCTCCGCACAGCGGCCTCCAGAGCACAGCCTGTCCCAGCTGGCTCCCATCACAGCCTAAGTGGCGCCCTGAGAGCCAGCAGCCTGGGAGGGCCTAGAGGAGCTGCTCGGCTTTGGGGGGGAGTCTCCAGACCCCACAGTTGGTTCTAAGTAGAGTCACCGTGGTCATAGTCCACCCTCCTCCAGCTGGGAAAAGGGTCTTGGGCAGGCCAGGACTCCTGGGTTCTATTGCCTGGCTGCATGACCTATGGTATCACTCCCCATTGCTGGGCCTCAGTTTCCCTGGCTAGGGCCGGAGAGACGTGCTGTGGCACAGGGATCTACCTGTGATGCACAGGGGGAGGCCAGGGGCATGGATTCCCCCTGGGCCTGGGCTGTGATGGGGAGAGGGGAGGCCAAGGCATCATTACAGGACGGCCAGGGGCTGGCACCAGCCCAGCACTTGCCCCAAGGCTCAGAGTCCTGTAGGGTGGCTCAGAGTTGGACCTTTTGCTGTGTTCTGGCTGGACCCCTGGGCCCCAGGCCGTCAGCACCCGGCAGAGCAGCCTGGGCCAGGCTAGGGGGGCGTGTGGTGCTAGGAGGAGGCCGACCCCAGGCATGGGAAGGGGGTTAGGGGTGTGTGGTTATGGTCTGTGTCCCCCCATCAGGGACAGGGTCTCTTCTGGGGGGGGCGGAGGGGGGCACATCAACCCCGTGTGAGCCTCATCCGTATGAGCTAAGTTGGGGCCCACATGGATGTTTGATACTGGACCCCTTCCCGCTTGCCTGGCTCTACTGCTGCCCTACCCTACCGCCCCCCACGGCCTGGAGCTGAGCGCCCCGAACCGTTACGCCTCCCACCCCACAACCAAGCGTCCCACGGGGCCTCCAACGCCTGGACCCGCCCCCTGGAGCAGAGACTCGGCCAGCCCTGGCCACTCCACCGGGGCACGCCCAGGGTGGGCAGAGAAGAGCCGTGCGCCCCACTGCAAGGGCTGCAGCGCCAGGTTTCTGCCAGAGGCCCTGGCACAAATTGGCTGAGCGATGTTGGCGGGAGGGGGCGCAATGCTGGAGCACGTAACACACAGGGTGGGCGAGGTGGTCCCAGGGCAGCAGGAGCTTCTTAGACTCCGGGGTCGGGTCCCAGGAAGTGGTGGCAGCCCCTTTGTGTGAGCTGTTTAGGGGTGGCTGTGGCCAAGGCCAGGTTAGGGGACACTCCCACAGCGGGCGGGGGGGGGCGGGGGCTGGGCATGGCTAAAAGGGCCTAGTCGGCTCACCCATGCCCCGCCCACCCACCCACGAGAGGCCGCTGGTTTGTGTCACTGCAAGAGCACCGCGGGCACTGAGTGGCCCCCGCACAGGGCAGCGCTGGCCAGTGAGCCAATGCTTTGGCTCAGCCCCATGCGTGTGCACAAACAAACACACCCCCCTCCCCACCCTGCGCACCAGCCCAGCGCCACAGGGCTGGGGGGGCTGCCTCTCAGCCTGCAGGCCCCAGGGACTGGGCATGGGGATGGGCTCCCTGCCTCTAGCCAGACAGGAAAGTGGAGCCACGGGCATGGGCCCTGCAGGTGCAGCCAAACATCGCGAGCCTGGCTGCCTACCTATGGTGTGGGATTAACCCCCCCCCGCCGCCCCCAAGCCTATGGGGTGGGGGCTTATGTGACCCTCAGACTACTGTAGGCAGGCGCCTGCCCCATATGCCCAGCACAAAGACGGGGGCACCAATGCAGGGCCTATCCTCAGGCTTCAGCTGGGCTGATGCTTTGTGGGGGGCGGGGGGCAGGACTCTGGCTGGCACTGCGGTGGAGTGCCCCGGCAGGGCCTATGTCTGTGCAGCACCTGGTGCAATGGGGCCTCCCTGCTGCTCCCCGAATTCTGTCAGTGCCAAGTGCTCTGGTGTGGCACATAGCCCCCCCCACCAGGGGGGGCATCACTCTCCACACTGGCTCTCCAGCCCCTTACTTCCCGCCTGCCCCCAATCCACTTGGCGCCTTGCACCGGCCCGCCTACCGCATGACCCTGCCCAGTCAGGGCAACCAGGCCAGATCTGGCAGCGCTGGGACCTCAGGGGAGCTGTTTCCAACACCGTGTTAGGCAGAGCGGTGGTGCCCACGAGCAGCAGGATCCCCCCTGCCAACCCAGCAGCCGGGAGGGGGGCAGCGCGGGGAGGAGGCGACCTGGCAGCCCAGGCTCTGACAGTGCCTGGTACGTGGCCAGCTCTATCGGGCAGCGATGCAGCCGCAAGCAAAGCCGGCAGAGGATGATTTAACTGGGAATTGGTCCTGCTTTGAGCAGGGGGTTGGACTAGATGACCTTCTGGGGTCCCTTCCAACCCTTATATTCTATGATTCTATGTGGCTCAGCATCTCTGGCCAGTGAGGCTCCGCAGCTGTGAGCAAGGCTGGAGATGGTACGAAAGGCCAGCTTCCCCCAGCCATTAGGCCCCGTGAGTTCATGGCAGCAGGTGGCAGAGGGGGTCTGGAGGCCGCCTGCAGGGTGGCTTTGGGGCTCCCCCCTGGCACGGAGGGACTACCATGGCAGAGGGCAGGGCGGTGTCTGCGTGAGCTAATGACACCTGGCCAGACACGGCTGGCAGTGTTGGCGGGAGGAGACCTGAGGGGACACTGGGCCAGGGCAGATGCGAGAAGGGGCTCCAAGCCCAGAAGCTGGACCATGCCAGGCTGAAACAAGGGGAGCCAGTGGAGCTGGGGAGATGACATGGTCAGGCCAGGAGCAAGGCTGGGTTTTGTGGAGGTTGGCGAGGCCCCAGGAGGAGGATGCAGCAGTCAAGTGTGGGACGCGGACAGGGAGCTTTGGCTCGCTGGGCCGAAAGAGACAGGCAGCCTTGCAGAAAGCAGAACTGCAACCAGGGCACCAGCCAGCCGCTGGGGTGAGCAAGACCCTTCCCCTGCAGGCTGGCCATGCAGCATGAAGACAGGCTACCAGCCTCGCTAGCCAATGGGGGCTGAGCCATTCTGGCAGGGCCCCTGAAGAAGGGCCAAGGGGGAGGAAAGGAACTAGTAAGGGCAGGCCAGAACTCCATTTGCTCATGTTATCCTGGGGATGTGTGTGCACTGGGGGGGGAAGAGGGGGGCTTCCTAAGAATAAACGCTCCCCGCTGGGGATGGGAGGTCAGTAAGAACCACTGCTGGCGCCAAAAGGCCCAGCGGGAAATCACTGTTGCAACCTGCATTCTCTCCTTCAGCTGCTGCCAGGGGAGGAGGGTCGGCGGGAGAAACACAGGCTACGACTGGACGTCCACATACTTCCAAAACAATTGTTGTATCTTTATTGACGTTCTGAATGCAATGACCTGTTTTTTACTCTTAAGGAAAATAAACATCTTTTAGAAACAGCTTGTTACACACAATCTTCAGTGTGAAGCAATATACTAATAAGTACACTAGTCTGAACATTTACAGTCTTCATATATATTATATATATGTATATGTATACATATATATACACTATATAATGAGGCAATATATAATACACACGATTTACCATTTTACAGTCATATGTACAAGATGCCACTAAAAATAGCCAGGATTTCAGGCAATGGTGCCAGGGACACAGTTTTTTTCCCATGGCCCGTGGCAAGCTTCTGAAACAACAGACATTTCTTGGCCAGCAAACATTGAGGGCGAGGTGAGTGGTGGTGAGATGACGAGCCAAGCATGGCAGCATGAAACGCGCACAGTACAACCACCAGACAGGTTACAATGGGTGAATTGGCTTTGCTTGGGCATGGCCCTGGTTGGGGAGGGGTCCAGATTCTTGTCTGGCGCAATGCAGCAATTGCTTAGGCTGCAGGAGGGGGGTGGCGTTGCTCACATCCAACCACGTGTGATTCCAAGCCGAGTGTGATGTTAAACATCAATAATTTCTATATATATGTAAGTAGAACCTCAGCGTTACAAACACAGCAGGAACGGAGGGTGTTCATAACTCTGAAATGTTCGTAACTTGGAACAAAACGTTCTGGTTGTTCCTTCCAGTGTTTACAACTGAACAGTGACTGAATAGAGCTTTGAAACTACTATGCAGAAGAAAAATGGCACTTTCCCTTTCGTTTTTGAGTAGTTTACGTTTAACACAGCACTGCACTGGAGTTGCTTTTTTGTTTTGTTTGGTCTCAGCTGCTGCCTGATTGCGTACTTCCGGTTCCAAACGGAGTGGCTGGTTGCCTGGTCAGTTCATTACTCTGGCGTTCGTAACTCTGAGGTTCTACAGCAATTCGTTTTCAGACGGGCTCATTCCTTCTGGCGTACGTCAGCATGGCCAAGATGCCATCCAACACACTCGGACAAATACCAACCCAAACTGCCTTTGACCCCTTTAAACTGTGCGTGCGGCTCTAGTTCGTGTCCCTACGTTTC